CTTGCTTGTTTGCATGGAGTAAACTGTGACCCCTTGTTGTGGGGGAGGGGACTCCCGTCTGCTTGGTAGTGGATTTTGTACCTTTTGGTTGTATTTTTGGGGTTGCAGCTTGCCTCAGGAAGGTTGAAGTGCGCTCTTCAATCTTCTCTCTTGGCTCTGCTCCAAACCATCAGCTAACTTGCTAAACTTCTGTACTTTAAGCCTCCTTTTGGATGGGAGCTTCTGTAAAAAGCTGGCTGCAGTTCGCCATCTTGGCTCTGCCCTCCTCAAAAGTTTCTAGGTGAGTTTACTTTTGTGGTGGAGGATTGCACTGGTCCTTATGGAGGATAGGTCTAAGAATATCCTGGAGAGCTGATTTATGGCAAATTTCTTTATGGCAAATTTCTTTAACATGGGAATGTTATGGCAAATTTCTTTAACATGGAAATGTCATTAAGTATTTAATTTCTCCATCATAAATGAAACTCAGTTTAGCTGGATACAGGATCCTGGGTTGAAAGTTATTTTGTTTAGGAGATTAAAAGTCAGTGACCACCCTCTTCTAGCTTGAAAGGTTTCAGCGGAGAGATCTGCAGTCATTCTAATATTCTTCCCCTTGTAGGTTATGGTTTTCTTACATCTGGCTGCTTTCAGAATTTTCTCCTTCATTTTAACTTTGGCAAAGTTAGCTATTTTGTGCCTAGGAGATGTCATATTCTGGTTGAGTCGTGCTGGGGTTCTGAAACTGTCTGGTATCTGAATTTCAGAATCTCTTGGCATGTCTGGAAAGTTCTTCTTCATTATCTCTTGAAGAAGAGTCTCTGTGCCTTTCAAAGCCACTCTATCACCTTCAGGGATTCCTATAAGGCAAATATTAGTTTTCTTCAAATTATCCCAGAACTCTCTAAGAGAATGATTCATTTTTGCGCTCCACTTCCCTTCCTCTTTGAGTGTTTTTGAGCATTCAAAAGCTTTGTCTTCAATGTCAGATATCCTTTCTTCTGCTTGCTCCATTCTGTTACTGGGGGATTGTACTGTATTTCTCAGATCTTTGAGGGCTGCATATTTTTGTCTCAATATGTCAAAATCTTTGGTGATTTTGTCTTTCAATTCATTGAATTGAGACAACATTTGAAATGCTCCTTGAATTTCTAATTCCAACTTTGCCTCTGTTTTATTAATCTTATTTGCAATCAAAATTTGATTTCTGACATTTTAGTCATCTGTTTATGAATGGGATCTTCAGTTGTGTCCACCATGTCGTTCCTTGGGGGAGTTGATCTACTCTTATTATTCATGTTACTGGAGTTTTTCTGATTTCACCCCATGCTTATCTTACACTGTTTGGCTAGGTGAGCAGATAAGGTGAAGTTAGGTTGGGGGCTCCTGGAATAGTGATCAACCAGCCGTTTGCCCAAGAGCTGGGACTACTGTCTGTACCTTTTCCCCTGGAGCTTTGCAAAGGACCTGTACAGTGCTATGGCCTGAGAAACTGGGGACCTGCTTGGTGTGGTAGGGATAAGTGGCTCTGTCTTGTTTCTAGCTGGTTTTTGTCCCTTGTGAAGCCGTTACTCTGAGTTGAAGTCTTAGCTTTGTAGAAATACCAGCAATTAAGTTACCCCCCCCCCCATGGGTAACAACTAGAAAAGGAAAATCAAACCTTCCCACAATCACACACCCAAGGTACCACATTGGATAGGCCTTGGGTGATTGGTCCAGTCCGAGAGGTCCACGTCAATTGTCCCTGTCCGCACCAGTCTCAGGTGGGAGAGTTCAAAATGTGTCTGGCAACTAGATAGCAGGGGTCTGCTGGCAGCTCAACTATGACTGACTCCTGTGCTCCATGAGGTCAGGAGGACCCACCCAGCAAATGAATTAGTCTGGGAAGGTTGGTGCTCTCTTCCCCACCTTGCACCTCTGTCACATCCCATCACTGAACCCCACAGGGCTGTAACCCAGTTCCCTCCAATGAGCAGATTCTCCAGGGGTTTGTGCCTGCCTGAGTCACAGGGAGATCTTTGTCTCCTCGATGAGGCCTCAACTCTGTGCCACTATCCAGCAGGGGGAATTGAGGCCTGACAACCTTGGGTGATTAATGGAGGCTGAGACAGTTCACTCAGTTCTAGCCCCACCTCTGATTGATATTGCTGACAGAACGGAACAATTTCACAGAATTTGTTTCTGTCACGGCTATATTCCCCTGCAAGTCAGATGCTGTTTGAGTTTACAGAAACTGTGACTTAGCCCCTATCTGTGCCATTGCCCTGTGCTGGTGTGTCTGTCTCGGCTGCAATCTGTGTTGGGGCAGACGCGGTTAGAGCTCACACTCAGCTGTCAGTTCCAGCTTCTGCCTACCTGCCTTTGTCTCAGCTGTGATCCCCTGAGGAAAAGGTGCTTCTTAGGCTCACTAAAGCAGTCCTTCTGGCTCAGCCCCGTGCTGGGAGTCTGCCATCTCTGCATGAATCCCTGTGGTGCCCCACCCAGGTAGGTACCACCTCAGGCATACCCTTTATTCACGGGGCCTGCGTTTCTGTCCCAGATCTGTTCTGCCAGTGGCTGCCACCAGAGAAGATGCCCTGCTTCCTCTGGTTGCCCAGAGAGGCAGGGAGTGTCTCTCCAAAATATCCCCAGGGGTGTAAGCCCTATTGTTCCCGCAGCTGCTGCTGCTGCTGCTGCTCTGTGCCACTGGGCACCCCCTCTCACTCTCCTGTAAGGTTCCCTCAGTTCACCTTATTCTCCTTACTCCTGTGCCACAGAATCAGCACAGACCAATGACAGCCCATGCCCTGTCCATAACTCTCAAGAAAATGCCCAAGAATCTGGATTCCATGGGGGACAGGCTTCCAGACCTCAGGGTGAGAGTGGAGGGTAGTGTTGGGAGTTCAGAATTACAGGTAGAGAATATATAGTTTTCTGCCTGGCAGGAGAGTGCCATGGTGCATTCCTCAGTCCTCTCTAGGTTTTTAGAAGGTGTCGCCCATGGGATAAAATAGGAAGGTATCTGAATTCTGCTCGCATGTTTGTATAGAGTATACTGCGAACTGTTCTCATGGTGGAGGGGACTCTATCCGCTTGGCGATGGATTTTGTACCTATTGTTTGTTTCCTTGGGGTCACAGCTCAGCTCACCTCAGCAGGGTTGATGTGCATTCTTCAGCCTTTTCTCTTGGCTCAGATTCAAACCATCAACTTCCTTCATAAACTTCTGTCCTTTAACTCTCCTTTTGGACAAGAGCCTCTGTGGAAAGCTGGCTCCAGTCAGCCATCTTGCCTCTGCCCCCTGTGTATTTTTAAAGCACAGTGGTTTTTCTCCATCACAAACCCATGTACGGGATTCTCCCATTTTGATGGGAGAAAAAGTTAAGCATCTGAACTGAGTTTTCCATACACAGAAGGGACCTGAGTCAACCCATGGAAATGGGTGATTCTGCTGTGTTTAGCTAATAAGGACGATGATGTATCCACGTTCAGTTCTATGCCATGGCCTAGGGGGACATGTTCCTGGATCTAGAAAGGAGCTGCCGGGAAGGAGGACATCGTCAAGCCCTTCCTGACAGCATCTCCTGTTCCACACTCTTCCCCTTCCATCTCTCAGCCTTCAAACGTGCCACATCCTGGAGTTCTCTGTCAGGCTAGAACATTCAAGATGAGTTTGAAGTACCTTTAGAGGAAAAAAAGTCTCTTATCAAGTGTGTACCAAAGCTACTACAACGAAATGTACACGGCACTTTATAAACTATTTCTTCAGTGTAAGATTTATTTAAAAATAACCTTTGGTTCATGGGTTTTCTCTCTAGTTACTGAAATGCTGAATAATATATATATTTTCCAGCAAGCTGTGCAGAAAGTTTTATATTATTTCAAAAGTGGTTATTGACATTGGTGTAACTTGAAATCCCCTCACTGATGATTTGTAATGAAATTAGAAAAGTATGCTTTTTAACAGGAAGACCAATAATTGATATACCACAAGAGGACACAGGAGAAATTCCTAGTGATGTTATACAGATCATTAATTTCTGTAAATGGTACAGTGAGATGCTATTATGGTAGCAGACAGTGGTGATTTAGGAATAATCATGTTCATTTGAATTGTATGGAATTAGATAAAAGACTGAAAGTTATCAAGTATTGTAAACAATCTGAGCGTGTGGAGCAGAATGCAGACTCCCTGGGTACTGTAATATCTAGTGTTTGCTTCATACTGCCTTCAAAGACACCCTGCTTCAGTCAGTAAAACCACCTCCTTGCTCCTGTAACAAGGAAGGCACAAAAATCTGTTTTAGTCATACCCAATTTTGCATGAAAACAGTTTTTTTTTTTTTTTGAGGCAGAGCCTCAAGCTGTCCCCCTAGGTAGAGTGCTGTGACATCCCAGCTCACAGCAACCTCCAACTCCTGGGCTCAAGCGAGTCTCCTGCCACAGCCTCCCAAGTAGCTGGAACTACAGGCACCTGGCACAATGCCCAGCTATTTTTTGGTTGCAGCCGTCATTGTTGTTTGGTGGACCCGGACTGGATTCGAACCTGCCACCTTAGGTGTATGTGGCTGGTGCCTTACCAGCTTGAGCCATAGGTGCCAAGCCCATGAAAACAATTTTAATGGAAGTTTATTTCTATATCATTTTAAGGGTACTTAAAAAAAATAATCATGCTCAGTGCTGTACCACAGTGGTTACAGCGCCAGCCATATACACCGAGGTTGGTAGGTTAGAACCTGGCCTGGGCCAGCTGAGGCAACAAAGGCAACTGTAATAAAAAATAGCTGGGTGTTGCGGCAAGCACCTGTAGTCCCAGCTACTTGGGACGCTGAGTCAGGAGTATCAGTTAAGCCCAAGAATTTGAGGTTGCTGTGAGTTGTGATGCAACAGCACTCTACTGAGGGCAACATAGTAAGACCTTGTCTCAATATAAATAAATAAATTCAAACTTCATGAATTCAGAATTAAAAAGCAAAATTGTATGAAGTGCTGAGATAATGCATTTCTCTAATGTCATTCCAATTTTCCTTTTCTCTTCCTTAGTGTCTGAGGCAGATGGGGAAACTCATGACAGAATGCTGGGCTCACAACCCTGCTTCGAGGCTGACAGCCCTGCGTGTTAAGAAAACACTTGCCAAAATGTCAGAGTCCCAGGACATTAAACTGTGATATGAGAGGAAACAGTAAGCTTCTCTGCAGAAAGCCAACAGATACTTCTCTGTTTGTGGGCCGAGCAGAAGTCGTTAAAGGAGCATCCACAGTCACAACCTTGAACATCGTCCTGCTTCCCAGTGGGTTCAGACCTCCCCTCTCAGGGAGCTCCCTGGACAGAGACAAGTTCCCAGAGGCACAGATTGGTCTGTGTCTGTCTGCAGGAGGGAGGAACCGCTTGGGTAACTTGTTCAAGATTTGATGCATGTTGCTTTCTAAGAAAGCCCTGTATTTTGGGATTGCCTTTTTTTTTTTTTAAAGATGCTTTAATTTTGCCAAAATATAATAAATAATGTGGATGTTTTAAGGTTTATACTACTATAGTTTAAATAGTAACAGCAAAAGTTCTTCCCCAAAACTCCGCTGGAAGGCAAATTAAAATATGTGTTTTTTCATTGGTAAAACATTGTTGCACTCTACAAACCAAAAGTCAGTCTGTGAAGTTGGCGAATATAGAATGGAGCTCATCTTGCCACCCCCACCCCCCCAACCCCCCACCCCCGGCTCCTCAGACCACTGGGGCCAGCCCCGCCTTTGAGGCTGCCACACAATGTGAATGCACCTGGGTACAATACCACCTGTCTAGGACCAGTTTTGGAATTCCTGCAGGTGGCCTTTTCGCAGCTTCAGACACTATGGAACAAATGAAGGTTTTATGTGACTCTTACAGGAGTGTTGATGGGGTTCTTCAGAACCACTTCGTGTTTCTGGTTATGTTGGGCTTTTCTTTCTTGCTAAAATTCCTTCCTTTTCATTAAAAGATGTTTTGATGTGCAGAGAATTGACCTTGCATGCTTTTGATCTCTCAAATCAAAGGATCAATATTAAACAAAATTGCCATGGTTGTGCTGAAGACAAGATGCTTTTATAGAGATGATTTGCTTTTGTGTTGTAAGAAGAATGTGTCCGCAAGCTTCAGGAAGGAGGATGAGGGTATGGATGGTTTATGTCTTACATATGCCAAGGAGCCAATCTCAAAAGCACAAGAAAAAGTATATACACCTTATTTTCCATACGTAATGATGGTTTCCTTAGGTGACTCTGTCTTTTGTGTGTATGTCTGAGTTAAAAGAGAGGAAGCATCTGTTAAGTTAATGTAACTAAATTTTATTTTAACAATACGTAACTGTAACCTGCAGATAGGACAGCAGAGGAGAGATAGTGGAGGCCACCAAATACTATGACTGCTGTGATTGATTATTCTGAAATAGATAGGGATGGAGTGTGTTCACCAACATTTCACACTGGAGGAATGCTGACTCATTTTCATATTCAACTCGCTGTTTAATTTGTTAATTTTTCTTTTCTATAGCACTTGTGCAAAACGTCTCTTTATCAGCTTAGTTCTACAGGTTTTAACTTTGGAGCAACGTAAATAAAATCTCTGACAAGGCTGGTATTCCTTAGCAGTAGAAATCACTGAAGTCTAAAATTGGCGCACGTGTCTCTCAACCTTAGGCATTTACATTTCCTTACTGTGGTTTTCTTTTGCTGCTTAGAAATTCTGTAGTGGTTAGTTAAGACTTTGGAAGTACTTTCTTTCCTCTTGACCTTAGAAAAAAAAAAAAGAAAAAAAAGAAAATTTCTTCCAGAATACTCCAGGGGGCAGTGTTTTATAACACATTTTCACCACTGGGTGACTGAAGGATGAAAGATTTTTGAAAATTTGACAGCTGCATGAAAAATGAGAAAATATTTTCCTCACTTCTGAAGTAGGCTTGCAGCTGGTGACTTGTTCATCCAGAAAACATCTTAAAGCAGTGAATGTGAGCTGTGCTCAACAGGGAGGGGGAATTAGGAGGAGAAACAGTTATTCCGTATTTCACGTTCACTCCCCAGTGCTTCAGAGCCACATAAGCCATAAGAAAGAATTTCTTAATCCTTGAATTTGAAAAATTTTGGGATTTTTTTTGAACAAGTAAAACAGTTGGTTCTAAATACAATTGCAATCAGAATGCTGCTTTTATTGATACTAAAATAACCTCAATAGCAATGTACAAGTTCCTTTCTCTTGTGTTAAATAATATTCTTTGTGATAGCTTAGAAGTAATAAGTGGTTAGAACTTTAATCATCTGAGCCTTGGAGAGAAACTTCAGTGCCTCTAAGCAGATCCTCTATAAAGAAATGGTAAATGTCTTAGGCCAGTTAAGTGGAGATACGTTTGTGTTAATCTTGAGTTTCTCTAAATTTAGTGAGGTAGGGCTTATGCCTTAGCTAAAATTATGTTTTCTTTTTGGTAAATACTTGAACATTGATAACTTCAAATCAGAATATTTTGTGGGGAGTTGATGATTTAAAAGTAAACTAGATTTCTAAGGGTGGTTTTGGCTCCAGAATGGAAAGAAATAGTATCCAGATTTCTTCTATATTATTTCTTTAGTTGCTTTGAAAAAAATCAGTAGCTCACTTTCTAATCCCTGACCTGACTGATTTACTATGAGTATTTTAAAAGTATTTGTGAGATACTAAAAAAGACCCACTTAGCTATTAATAGTCTTTCAATGGGACAAGAATTTATTTAGGAATAGATGTTTCTCTGTATTTTACCAAAATCCACTTTTCTTAGATAAAACTAAATTGTTCTTAAAAACTACCTACTCGCTTCCCAGTACTCTTTTAACTTTTTAAAATTTCTAGTAGCTCAGAGGTGAATTTTATTTTTACGTTTTGTCTTCCACTCAAGTAAGTGAGAACCTGGAAATTGATAATGTAGTTGATAGGTTACTTTTAGGACTATTTCAAAGGCTAAGATTTTCTCCTAACCCCTCCCTTGCAAAGGACTCCTAAATTATTAGTTGTTAGACACGTTTTGTATGCCAAGATGTTCAGGTTTATAGTTTATGTTTGTATATATTATATAAGTATATATGTATATATAAATATTATGTTCAGTCTGGAGTCTGGGTCAACTCCATTGTGTGGATTAGAGAGTAAAATATTATGGTTGATAAAGTACTAAATGAAACATAATATTTATTTATAAAAGTGTGTAGACAGTTAAATTACGAGTAAAGTGCTCTGAACATTATGAAGATACAGGCCTTTGACCTCCTGGAAAGCACCGCTCAAAAGCCACTAGTGACAATTTTTGAATTCCCCAAACAGAAAGCTTCTTAGAAGGTGTGCTAAGATTTTATTTGCCAGGAATTCTCTGACACATTTCAGCTGAAGTGTAGTCAAGTCTAGCTCGTACTTAGTAAGGACCGCGTTTCATGTTCCTGGGGTCATGCATATTCATGAAGAGTTTTATGTTGTTGGTCTATTCTGGTTTTCTTTGTTTGTGGGTGGAAAGGCACTGAGAGAAAGAAGTATAATTTTTTTAAACTTGAACGTGTTCAGTATTTATATCTTCTTAGAAAACTGAGTCATATAGATAGCAGTGGAAATGAAAGGAGTGGCATCACAAGTGATTTAATTTACCAGTTAGGATT